TCAGGTTTCTCATTAGAGAGAGACCTGGTAGGATCTGCACTGACCAGACTGATTTCCACAGATTCTGATACAGATTGATCTTTCACGACATCTCTCCAGTATTCTCCCATATCTTTCCTTCCATCAATAGAGCTAGCAAACTGCACAAGAAAAGAAAATTATTCCCATAAAAAACTGAAGATTATTGATTGAAAATTCTTAATTTATTTCCAAAATAAAAATGTTCTACGTAAGCTATATGAAAAGCTTCAAAAACATATATGAAAAAAGGATCATATTGAACCCTGTGTTAATCTTGCTCTTCGTGGAAAGAAATGCTTACCAAGAGAAGTAAGGAGATCAATATGCAGAGAGCATATGAAGCTTTCATGTTTCCCTTTAAACCAAGTGTTTTAGATAAAACTTTGTATGATTTTGCATGGAAGCCTTATTTTTCTCGTTATTTATAGAAAAAAAAATTCTCGAATCTCATGCAGGTGATTAGAGCTGTAAATTAATTAAGCACGTGTTAAAGATGATATGAAAGCATGTTAATTAATTCAATTTGAAATCCAATAATTTCAACGCCGTGGACCATATATGAAGAGTTAATTATTTGTTAATTTCTACTTTTCCCTGGATACCTTACTGCAATAGGGTCGGGGCTGTGAAGGCATATGAAACTCATGATGCCACTTATTTTATCTTGATATTATTATATATTGTGTTATTCAAACATTATATTTGTGAACTTTCTTTTATGTTTAATGGGGTATCTTCCGTTTTCTAGCATATTAATTTCATTCTTACCATGTCCATAATGAAAGATCGATTCATTAATTATGGGTCTTTGTTTTATAATCTTATTGGTCCATCTTGTATTAACTTTTACATCTTTAATTATTGGTTCATTGTCAAGGGGCATATTTTTTTTTTTTTAAGGTATATGAGATATCCAAACTCACATTGGAGCATATCTATTCCTCAAGGTTATAGAAATCAAGGGGCACATTGAATGCAAGCATGCTAGACTAATTTCATATTAAAACAAAAAGAATTCTTCTACCATTTCCACTTTAAGTAAATAAATATTTTATGAAGATTCTTAAGATCCTTAGACGAAGTTTCATTTTAAACGAGTGTTCATCCACCTCGTGATGATGTCGAAGTAAAATATAGTATGTGGTGTTGATGAAATGTTCTCATGTTTAGTTATAGGATAGTACTCTTTGTATCTCATGTAGCTCATTACAGTATTTTGGCCTTCCACAAACTTAAATATGCGGAACAAATTAAGATGTGGTACGCTCTCTCACGTAGGGATAGCAATTGGGCACATAAAACTATGGATCCTAACCCTAAGAGAGTGGTCTGACGGTCAAGAAGGTTTGCTCAATTCCTTGAGTTTCTAGGTTTAAAGTTAAAACCTTGGTGTCATCACATTATGGCTTACCTAGTCCTTTGTATTTGTAGGGTATTCAATGAACCGTAAAGATTAGTTGAGGTGCACGGAAGCTGACCCGGACACTCTAATTACTAAAAATAAAAAATACAAATCCTAGTATTATCAAACCCTAATTGGAAGGTTGTGATAATCATCAAAACTTGTTGTTTTAATTATGAGTGGTGTTATTTAAACCCCATTCAAACTTTCTAAACCCCAAAATCAATAATAAATAAATAAATTGCTACAGTTAAAGAACTTTGGATCATATGTGTGATGAACTTAATGGTCTCTCTGTCTGTCTCTCATCTAGCTAGTCATGAATGAATTAAAGAAGTAGAGATTTTACCTTCAGAATTTGCATGAAAGTTTTCTCAGCTCAAATACCAAATGGATTCAAATACTATATGGTCAATAAAAGAACATGGGGTAAACATTATTGAAACATTCATGACAAAAAACGAGTTAATTGGTGATCTCTCATTATTGAGGC